CTTATTTATGCAAGGAACTGTTTTATTTTTCTTTGTTGTAAACATGTAATATAATTGTTTCCTTCTTGGCAAGGAGACGATGTAAATAGTGTACGATAATAAATTTTTGTATAATTTAAGCAACTTAACACCATCCTTGTCATGACTTGTCGCTGATTGTGTGGTAAAGCTTCTCAATCCACTTCACATTTATGCAATGGCCGTTGTTGATAGAGTTCTCATGGTCGAAACAGGAGATCTGGAAACTGACGAAAATGAATTTAAAACAGATATTATTGTTTCATTGTGAACAAAGTTCCTGTTAGGGAGTCATAACTTGAAAAAAGCGCCACTCAAGCACTCTGTATGGGTGTTTAACAAGCAAAGTTGAGATGTGCTGCCCCAATGTTTATCAAAGTGTTAACCTTGACAGTTCACCAATGTTTTTCTCAATTGGTTTCGTGTGTTCACAAATCTTAATTGGTGTTGGCAGGCTGTGTTTTCTCTTCATTTCGAAAAGAACAGCGGTGTTTGCCAAATCTTTTGTGGAAAATACGTGCTAGGGGCTTTTGCACACAAAGGATGGACGAATCGTGGCCTTGACTAGCCATGTACAGCTTGAATGCAATATATTTGTTTATTCATTTCGGTCAGCGTCACAATAACAGTTTTTTTATTATGTTTCCTCCCTACCAAATGAAGCTCCCTCGTACCCTCCAACTTGATTCAACTGCTCATGCCAGTTTTCTTGGATCAGCTGCAGACCACTTTGAGCTTTCTGCGTGTAGTTTATGAGTATTAAGAAATGTCATGGCAAACTGTGACATGGCATGCCATGTGTGCATGTCAGTGGTGCTGCCAAATTAATTTTCAGCCAGCCCTGCCCGTGACACAATATGTACTTAAGCTACATCGCAGAGGATCTTATGGTTTCACTAAAGCAGTGTTGCTTTGAATGTCGTTACCTATGTCCATATAGCAGCAGTAGCAGCAGCAACAAAAGTAGCATGAGCACCAAATCACATTCGCTGTGATTGACAAATACATGTGCTGTGTGACATTAATTATAATATCGCATCACTTTTGAAGCACTGCCTAAGTATTCTGAAGTGACTGATCGCTTACACTGCACTGAGCAGTTGATTGGCTTTATTTGCCCAGTTTCAGTGTGCAGTTGTGGACATAAAACTTTGAGACACTGCTGATATGATGACTAGCCTATAGAAAATTTTCATTCATTCACATGTAATTGAAACTACATATAAGGAAATGTACGTATCGAACAGTTGTAAAACCCCTTAAAACTGGCCGTAAAAACGTTGGCGTGTATAAATGTGTACAAAAGCTACTATCATCGTGAATGGGTGTATCGCAGAAAAAAATGCGATTACTCATACCCTTCGTCCACTTAAAAAGAAAAGGGCACCAGACGAAGATTTTAGGTAGACATAACCAGTAATTAAAGCTTTATTAAACTGTCGGCTTAACTCAATGATGAACACTGCAGCCAGAGATTTTTTTTCTGGTGGGGGGAGGGGAATCACTCGCGGAAGACCTTGATCATTTTAGAAACTCAAACTTTCATTTCATAGGATAAAAGACCCCCCCCCTCTCCTTGAGTCTTTTATCCGAGGAGTCACTCGCTGAAGACATTGGCTAATTTAGAAAAACTCCTACTTTCATTACTTTGGGTAAAGACTCCCTCCCCCCTCTTCCATCAGAAGATGGGGGGGGGGTTGAGCTCGAGCCCCTAGAGCAACCCTCCCTCCACCCCCTTACCTTGGCTGGGGTTCTGCCGTGGACGCACCTTTCAGCTTCGCTGAAGCCCATGTACGGCGTGCTTCAACGAGAGAAATCAAGCGAGGGATAGCCAATGGCAACTTCGACGAGACCCCCGAAGCGATGGAAACCGTACGCGAGCGTCGGCGTGCCCCCGTAGATCTGTGGGAGGCGCGAACCCTCTGTGTCAATGCGAGTTTCCGTCTCTGGAGTTTTGGCATCCCTGTCGTGTGTGTGTCTGTCTGTGGTTTAACTCGAACCCCTCTGCGCTTAGAAGTGACCCTAGAAACAGTCTAGCATCGTCTAGCTGAAGCCGATCAACAGCCTAGAAGCAACCAGATTACGCTTCAGGATCCTCCCGCTTCACCGTTTCAAGCTCTGCGCGACTTAATGCGAGCTTCACCATTTTTTTATTTCGAATTGTACCCGCATATTAGTTTTTTGAGATCATCTAAAGATTCGATATAACCGTGTTCGACTATCGTACCACTATGGTCCTTTGTACCACGCGCTGAACTTATCGTGATGCACCGACAGCAGCACTGACTTCGCTGTATTAGGATTGGGCATTGCAGAACACTCGAAGGTGCTGGTGTTTTAGCAGTATGTTAAAGTTACCAATACTAGCGACTCTTGCTACCAACGGTGCTGCCAGTGGCACCGGTGTTGGTTGGAGGCCGGTGAGAGGCTTTGTCTCCATCTGAGGACAGTGTCGTGGGCAACCGCCGCAGAGCGCAGGCCACGCGCCCGCGTGTTCCCTTTCATAAAGGACGACGGTGTACTTCATTTTTACCGTTTGGGAACCGCACAAACCGTCGAAAACCGCAACGTCTCGACTATAATGAACTCTGCAGTCGCGACGACTGAAGCAGGAACTTCAGGATGGCGTCGCCCCTTCGCATGCTGGCGCAGGAAGGTTTCAGAATAGAGGCAGGCTGAAGTTGACGGCTTACGAAGCACGTCAACTTGAGTGACACCCAAAGCAATCTGATGGGTCGACGTGACCTCGGTACTAGCGTTAGAGCACGTGTGTCAGTTTTATCAAGAGGAAGCGCTTGTTACTGCGCAATATGCATATTTAAGAGACTGCTTCCGTCGCGTTCCTCCGATTTCAGCAAAGTCATAAAGTTAATATGTAGTGTTGCTTACATTCTTGCAAGAGTGGGAAGTGCTAGCGTAGTTCCGGGGTATAGAATACCGACCTTTTCCTTATCGACAACGCTGCCGACGCCTGCCCAGCCTGAGATGCAAGCGCCTATCGCGATCGCGCAAAGGAAGTCTGCTGTACTGGATGACACGGAATTTTCACTTGACAAGCATCTAACGCTAGTCATACAATGACTTATTCATCGTGCCCATCATACGCTAATGCCTTTGCGTACAACTTTTGGTGTGTTTCAAGCAAAAGGAGGCGCCCCTAGAGAGCGCCCAAGAGCTTGAGTCTTCGATGAGGAAATTAAGATAGTCAACAGCCGCGAAGTCCCACAATCATTGTTTCAGTGATATTACATAAACGAAATCAGATGACAACTTTCCAGACTGACTGCGGCAATCCGCAGCTGCTTGTGAGAATGCACTGAGTTATCGTCCTCCCACACCTGCCTCCAGAATCCTCCGCTATTGGTCGGTGTGTATGCTCTCAGCATTACCGAGCTACCCGTGCGCTCGCCTGTCCCTACCTCCGCGACATTCTTGTGGAAAATAAGCTCACACATCCTCGCCGGCTTATCATCCACAGATTGTCGCTGCAATGGGCCAACGATGTGGCAACCAAATACGTTAGCCTTCTCATCTGATTAAATATTATAAGAGAAATCATGCATGCACGTGGAATGAAGGCCTCCCATTGCCGAACCGATCCTATTATGTTAACTTCATGAAATCTAAGTGCTTGATGATGGTTCTGATACACGACATACGATCAAATGCGCTATTCATATGTCGCGGCTTATCGAACCTGCTTTTACGAATAGAAGGGGATAGACGTCTTGGGCTTTCACCGGGACGATTCTGTTGTAGGGAATCATGCCGAGTTTGCTTCAGGAATGATCGACACGTGAGATATGCGAAGGTCGTTCTTTAAAATGGCAGCGTTTTAGACGAGATATTGGTCCAACGCCTCCTGCACTACCCCCTACCAGTTCCATTATTGCAACCGCCCTGACGGGACTAGATTTCGGGACTGCTGCCCGCAAGCCTATAGGTGAGCTTGAAACCCCTGATGTAGACTATCAGAAACCATGACGCAGTGCCCGCTGATGCGGGAACTTTCAGAAGGCATCGCCTCCAGCATTTTCTTTGTACATGTGTTCGAATCAATTGTCTCGCTATCAAGACAAAGGTTATTAAAGAAATGCCAGAACAATCGTTCTGTTCCCTCGTAGCCTTTTAGCGTCGCGCCTGGCACTTTGAGGTTAGAAATGGCCTACGCTCTTGCAGAGGAGGTAAGCGCAGAGTTAAAAAAAAGAAAGAAACTAACGCGGCTTATCGTTTCAATGAAGAACACGTCCAGAACTAAGCGGGGAGTGGGTGCGCAGCTACAGCTTAGGTTGGCCCCGCATCCTCCCTGCTTTTAGGCCTTCGCAGTTCAATCAACGGCTGCATTTCATTGCAGAAACACCGGAATGAACTATGAATCTCACATACTTTATTCTGCCGTGGCCCCGCCGTGGTGGTCTAGTGGCTAAGGTACTCGGCTGCTGACCCGCAGGTCGCGGGATCGAATCCTGGCTGCGGCGGCTGCATTTCCGATGGAGGCGGAAATGTTGTAGGCCCATGTGCTCTGATTTGGGTGCACGTTAAAGAACCCCAGGTGGTCGAAATTTCCGGAGCTGTCCGCTACGGCGTCTCTCATAATCAGATCGTAGTTTTGGGACGTTAAACCCCACTAATCATCATTTAATCTGCCATGTCCACAGAAATGTTTAAGCTTGTTTGGTGTGCTACCCTTATTTAAAAAAATTGATGCCTTCCTTTCCCCTCCTCGCGGACGGTTCACGAAGAACCGACACTTCTATTCAAAATGCTCCCCAAAACGTAAAGCTGCTGCGCAATTCAGGAACAATGCTGTTCCTGACGTGCATAGCTCGTCTAGTGTTATAATCATTTAAAACTTCGAAAACATGCGTAAATGGTTCTGATATCGGTGTATACGACGACAAAACCCCTAACTACAACGAAGACTGAGTGCTTCGTTCGAGGACAGAGTAAAAAAAGAACAGAAAACACAGCACTTAATTAACGTAGTATCGCGTGTTAAACGTAATATTTAATAGCGAAATGTCTTATTTAGCAAGAAGTCTCATTTCGTCTGGCCCGGTTTCTCGTAAGGACGGAAGGGAAGCAGGCTCCCGAACAGTGCGTGCTGGACGACCGGGAACTTTCCCAGCACCTCCGCCTTGTACATCCTGATCAGGCCGGCGTTGATCTTGGCCCAGCTGGGCACGGCGCTGATGTTCCACAGCTGGTTGGAGTGCTCGTGGAACGGGCCGCTCTTCACCTTGCAGATGAACTCGATGCAGCCCATGAACATGTAGTCCCCGGAGTAGTTCTGGGCGAAGCCGGGCGTCGGGAAGGACTTGGGCTGTATCGCCAGCTGGCCCATGAGCTGAGCGCTGCCCCAGATGAAGGGCAGGAACTGGTAGTCGTCCAGGCTCCAGGCACCGTGGCTGCCGGCTGGTTCCATGCGGTACTCCTGCTGGAGGTGACGCACCAGCTCCAGGTACCTTGGAGGGAAAAAAATAAGCAAAAATTGGCCGAGTTTCACGCCGTTGACAAGTTACAACCGCCGAGCAGCAAAGCTGTTGGCATGAGAATGTGGGATTTGCTGGCGAGATCACATGGTGTTGTAAATCATTATCGTCATCATCATCATCAGCCCGACTACGTCCACTGCAGGACAAAGGCCTCTCCCATGTTCCGCCAGTCAACTCGGTCCTGTGCTTGCTGCTGCCAATTTATACCTGCAAACTTCGCAATCTCATTTGCATACCTAACCTTCTGTCTCCCCCTAACTCGCTTGCCTTGTCTAGGAATCCAGTTAGTAACCCTTAATGACCAGTGGTTATCCTGTCTATGTGCTACATGCCCGGTCCATGTCCATTTCCTCTTCTTGATTTCAACTATGATATCCTTAACCCCGGTTCGTTCCCTGATCCACTCTGCCCTATTCTCGTCTCTTAAGGTTACACCTACCGTTTTCCTTTCCATTGCTCGCTGCGTCGTCCTCAATTTAGGCTGAACCCTTGTAAGTCTCCAGGTTTCTGCTCCGTAGCTAAGCACCGGCAAAATGCAGCTGTTATATACTTTCCTCTTGAGGGATAGTGGCAATCTACCTGTCATGATTTGAGAGTGCTTGCCAAATGAGCTCCCCCCCAATCTTATTCTTCTAGTTACTTCAGTCTCGTGGTTCGGCTCCGCGGTTATTACCGGTCCTAAGTAGACATAGTCTTTTAAAACAACCTGTCTCGAAGCGCTGTTCTCTTCGAAGGTTGTTGCACATTACTTTCGTTCTCTGCAGATTAATTTTAAGGCCCATTTTTCTTCTCTTCTTGTCTAACTCCGTAATCATTAGTTGAAATTCGTCCCCTGAGGTTACTCAGCAATGCAATGTCATCGGCAAAGCGCAGGTTACTAAGGTACCCTCTATTAACTCTCATACCTAACTGTTCCTATTCTAGGCCTCTGAAAACCTCCTGTAAGCGCGCGATAAATAGCATAGGGAAGATTGTATCCCCCTGCCTTACACCCTTCTTGATTGGTATTCTGTTGCTCTCTTTATGAAGCTTTAAGGTAGCAGATGATTCCAGGTAATGGTAGGTGTTGTAAATACGCTGCTATATATTTGAAGTATGCGCACTTACACTTGATTGGGCAAAGTGAGATCGCATGGCCTTCGGAGCTCAGGTGCGTTTCAGCGAATGCCGTGATTTCTAGGTTAGCTGCAGGCTCAGATTTTAGCCTCATTAGCTCAAACTGTTTCAGCAAACGCCTCGCGTGACTCGGTTTGCCGCTGCAGCGTGGGGGAAATCCTGCCATATGTGCGTTCCCGTCCCTGCTATCTACATATGACCTTATAACGCATCCAGATGCCTTAGTTTTGTATAAGTTGAACGTATTAAAAAAAAGAGTTCACAGTTTCACCGCAAGGGAGATTGTGACGGCAACATCTTGGAGTGTAACGCTGAGAACGGCAAGCACAGAACACGGAGTGTGCAGCGCGCTGCTCACGCACAAATGACGCAAGAAAACAACACACATAATGTAGAGCTCGACACTTATCGCGCTGTTCAAACGAAAACGACGCACGAAACGTAATCACAGGTACGTATGAGTACCCTTGTTGTTACTTCGTTGTGTAAGAAAAGCGTGCTCTTTTTCGCTAACGGGGCCTGCGCAGCGAGCGAAGTGACCTTTGTGGGCCCGGAAACAACAACGCAACCGTTCCGGTAAAAGCCGAAGGCACACGATTTCCCTCCACCGAATTCGGATAAACACGAGCGCACAAGCATCAACCCCCCCCCCTTTTTTTGAGGGGGGGGGGGGGGGGGCAAAGTACGCGTGGGAGATGAACGCGCGTCGGCGCATCGCGACGAGCTGGGCGCCGAGCACGTTTGTTGAGCCATCTCGCTGGTAATGGTGGAAATACGCTATTTCCCCCGCCGTCACAAACGTCGATACCGGCGGCAGAAACCAGCCGAGAAATGTCCATACAGTTGTTATTGCTATAAAATGAGAATCGCTTTTTCGGTATTTTGTACCTAAAGTAATATAACCACCACTTAATTGGAACATCGCTATCATCATCATCATCATGTTGTTTTACTTGAACAGCGTCGCTATTTCGTACATCATCAACATCAGTTCATTCATTTCCTTACTTCCTCCTCCCTCTGGTCACGTGACCTTCGTGACCCCTGCTGCTAATATAAATAATAACACGTCTTGTGACGATGATGACGGCACAAAAAGACTGAGACAGCTTCCTCGCTAGACAAGTCACTCTACCTTTTTGTGTATACTCATAGTTACACTTCTATTGGGACATATCTGTTGTCAATATTACCCTACGATTAAATTTAATCTGAATTTATCAAGCCGCCGCTTTCATGGCCAGTCCTTCTCGGCGGTGGCAAACCGCACATGTTAGGCGACCTACAAGAACACCTTCGCCGCGAAAATAGCTATAGCCATGGCTATGGCATTCGTCGCTGAATTGCGTGACACATAAGAATGCGTGCCCACCAACCTCTGGAAGACGGTCAGGACCACGGCGGCCGAGTCATCCTCGGCCCACGCTCTGATCTTGAACAGACAGCAGAGGAACATGGCGAAGCTCATCTCGTGGCCCGTGCCGTAGTCGATGCGCGTGGAGTTGCCGAAGCTGTCGTCGAAGTAAGGGACGAGCTCGACCAGCGCGGGCCCGTACCTGGCCGGCAGGGCGTCGCGCAGCAGTCGTCGGCTTTCGCCCTTCACCCGGCCCAGCCACGTGCGGAAGGCCGTGTTGCCGAACCGCTGCGGCTGGTCCACGGGAGGCGTTTCGCGCACCCAGCCGTACAGCGTGTCCAACACAGACAGCAGGCCCGACGTGACCTTGGATCGGTGATTCAGAGGTAACGGTAAATTGAATGTCGATAGTTCCTTCGGCAAATGTGCCCCACCGCGGTGGTCTAGTGGCTAAGGCACTCGGCTGCTGACCCGCAGGTCGCGGGATCGAATCCCGGCTGCGGCGGCTGCATTTCCGATGGAGGCGGAAATGTTGTAGGCCCGTGTGCTCAAATTTGGGTGCACGTTAAAGAACACCAGGTGGTCGAAATTTCCGGAGCCCTCCACTACGGCGTCTCTCATAATCATATAGTGGTCTTGGGACGTCAAACCCCACATATTGTCACCAATCTTGTCACCAATCTTGTCTTACTCAAGGAAACCTTCCGCAGAACTGCTCGTCAAGCTAGGAAAAACAAAAGCGGCCCAGTCCCAACTTCTTCGTCCTCTTCCACACGAAAAACCACGCGAATTCATGCGGCATTAGTCCCCCCTTTTAAAAAGCATCGACTCGATGCTTCTAAATAAAAGAAGAAGAAAAAAAAAACCCATAATTAGAACACGCGTTGACGCAGAGAATCACAAAGTGAGTGCCAGGGAAAACAAAGAGGGCGCACAAGCACTTGGACCATGCGCGAACACAACAGCACCAGTGGAAGAGTCAAGAAGAAAAAAAAACACCACATGAGATCACTGTCACGTTTGCGAAGTAACTCGCAAGCACAGAGACTATTGTGTGTAGTACGGCTTGAGTCGTACGACATGCACAGTTTCGGGCCGATGTTGTCGACGTGACGACACTGTGCCGTCCGGAAGTACTTCGTATGTAAGGTCACTCACACGTCGGACAACCTTGTATGGTCCGAAATAACGGCTCAGAAGCTTTTCAGACAAGCCTGGTCGTCGGACAGGAGTCCACACCCACACTCGTTCACCCGGGTGGTATGCGACGTTTCGACGGCGAAGGTTGTAACGTCGTGCATCTGCGTCTTGTTGGTGACCGATGTTCACGCGAGCCAGTTGACGAGCCTCTTCGGCGTACTGCGTGTATTGCTCGGCTTCTGGTGGAGGTGCTGGGTACGACAACTGACGACGCACCCCATGCACAAGAGCCCGCCCAGGAGCCGGAACACAAGCCCTGTGCCCGTGGACACGCCAGTTCACAGAACAAGCCGCCGCCAACGAGGCCTACCACCAGAGACACCGGCACAGCTTATCCATAGAGCGACTATGACTTCGCCTCAAGGCGTCATGGAAACTCCTACGTCGTCGGCACCAATTTATTGCACTGTCCAGAACCCGCTGATGCCTAGTCCCTTTCACGGAGAGCTGTTTGAGGATGTGGACGACTGGCTGAGCGAGTTCGAACACGTCGCAGCGATCAACTACTGGGACGAAGCCGCCAAACTCCGCAACGTCTACGCGTGTTTGAAAGACGGCGCCCGAACGTGGTTCATGAACAGAAGTGATGTCTTGACATCCTGGCGCGAGTTCCAGCATCGCCTCTTGGAGACCTACCGGAGCCCCGACCGCCGCGATCGTGCTGAACGTGCATTGCATTCACGCATCCAGATGCCTAATGAGACCGTCACCATGTACGTGGAGGACATGACGCAGCTTTTCAGGCGAGCGGATCCGGCAATGCCAGAAGAAAAAAAGCTACGCTATCTGATGCGAGGCGTGAAGGAGCAGCTTTTTGCTGGTCTAGTGCGGAGTCCTCCGAAGAGTGTAGCAGAATTCCTGACCGAAGCCACTACGATGGAGAGGGTACTTCATCAGCGGTCAGCCCTACTCAACCGGCAAGTGAATTCTGCATCACCTACTGAATTTTCCGCCAGCTTCGGGAGCAACAGCATTGAGTGGATTCGCGAAATCGTCCGCTCCGTCGTCCGCGAGGAAATCGCGAAACTACACGGGGCGAGACAGCCGGAGGTAAGCAGCATCACCAATATTATTCGGGACGAGGTCCAGCAGGTGCTTCACAGCCGTCGCCCTCAACCAACGGTTACAAATCTAGAACCACCTCCTGCGCCCACTGATGTTGGGAACCGCACATATGCCGAAGCTCTGCGCACTTCCATGCCGGTCTCAAGCCCTGCAGTCCCAATCCAGACGATGCCGCCAGTTTCAATTCAATCTGCGCATGCTGGTTTGGACATCGACGGTCGCCGTGCCCCTCCGCGGAAGTCCGATATTTGGCGTACGTCGGATAGAAGACCCCTCTGCTTCCATTGCGGTGAAGCCGGTCACATCTACCGGGAATGTCCATACCGACAACTTGGACTGCGCGGTTTCTCTATTCATTCGCCTCGTCCCCTAGTTGGTCAGAGGCCAAGAGAAATTGAGGACTACCTCGCGCAGCAACGCCTGCCTTTCTCACGGCGTCAATCGCGGTCTCCATCTCCACGACGACCCACAGCTATTGGACCACGTCTCAGTACGATGGCACGGGGACGTTCCCCAAGCCCTCGTCGGGAAAACTGAAGGCAGCGACCTTCGGGGGCGAGGTCGCTGGGACTAAAAGTGCGGAAGACCTCCTATCGACGCTTCCACAAAACACTGCAGACATTGAATTGACGTCTGAGTGCAGTGCGAGAGAAATGCCGGATTGTGCGTCTGAACCCAGTGGCCGAGTCTCACTCGACATTCCCGTGCTGATAGACGGTCTTCAGGTTAGCGCATTGGTGGACACAGGTGCAGATTATTCTATTATGAGCGGAAAATTGGCAACCAGTCTTAAGAAAGTGATGACACCTTGGAATGGGACGCGTATTCGCACTGCTGGAGGCCACGTTATTACTCCATTGGGTCGCTGTACCGCAAGAGTGGAAATACGCGAGTCAACGTTTGTGGTAACCTGCCTCGTACTACGCGACTGTTCTCGTCAGCTCATCCTTGGAATGGACTTCCTTCGAGAGAATGGCGCGATCATAAATCTCCGCGAGCGAATGGTGACTTTCTCGACGCAACTTGCAACCGATCGAGGCGCTGATAGCTGTCGTAGACCTGCGCTGCGTGTTGCCGACGAAAGCGTGACGTTGCCTCCCCGAGCGACTGCTTTCGTAGAAGTCACCTGTGAAGACCTCCAAGACGGTGACGTGGTCGCCGAGAGCAACGTATCCCTTTTACTGCTTCAAGGTGTGTGTGCAGTGCGAAGCATTCTGCGTGTGCGTGACGGACGGTCGCAGATACTCGTCACAAATTTTAACTTCGAGCACCGACATCTTTTCCGCGGCACCACCGTGGCCTTCGGAGACCGTGTAGCGGATGTCACCGAGTGCTTCGCATCCGAGGAAATGGTTGATGGAGATAAGTTTCTGGACCACATCGACGTCAGTTCGAAGCTTTCGGACGAGAAGAAGGCCGCACTGCATACCCTGCTGAAGGAATTTAAATCTTGCTTCGCCTCTTCATCTAGAGTCGGTCAAACACCCCTCATAAAGCACCGAATTATTACCGACGATGATGTTCGCCCAATCCGCCAGCAACCTTACCGTGTTTCGGCTAAAGAACGCGAGACTATACAGACGCAGGTAAAGGAGATGCTTGACGACGGGGTGATACAACCGTCGAGCAGCCCGTGGTCCTCGCCAGTCGTTCTAGTAAAGAAGAAAGACGGAACGCTGCGATTCTGTGTTGACTACAGGAAACTCAATAGCGTCACAAAAAAAGACGTCTACCCGCTCCCACGGGTTGATGATTCTCTCGACAGGCTACGACACGCGAAGTATTTTTCATCGATAGATTTGAAGAGCGGCTATTGGCAGATAGAGGTCGATGAGCGAGACAGAGAGAAGACAGCGTTTGTAACTCCCGATGGGCTTTATGAATTCAGAGTTCTTCCTTTCGGCCTCTGTTCGGCTCCCGCAACATTCCAGCGAATGATGGATACCGTTCTCGCTGGCTTGAAGTGGCAAAGCTGCCTTGTATACCTTGATGATGTGGTCATCTTTGCCGAGAGTTTCGAAGAACATCTGAAGCGTCTAAGAATGGTTCTGGAAGCTATTCGTCCGGCCGAACTCACGCTAAAACCCCAGAAGTGCCATTTCGGCTACGATGAGCTGAAATTTTTGGGACATGTTGTGAGTGCGGATGGAGTGCGGCCTGACCCAGAAAAAACTGCAGCAGTCGCCACCTTTCCTGTGCCGTCAGACAAAAAAGCGGTGCGGCGTTTTCTCGGCTTGTGTGCTTATTATCGCCGATTCATTACCAACTTCTCGACGATAGCCGAACCGCTCACGCGACTCACCCGAGATGATGTACCGTTTGCCTGGACTACAGAGCAAGAAGCAGCTTTCACAGAGTTACGGCAGCGAATGCAAGAGGCACCTGTTCTTGCGCATTTTGATGAGGACGCTGATACCGAAGTTCACACGGATGCAAGCAACGTCGGACTTGGCGCTGTCCTTGTACAACGGCACAACGGCGTAGAACATGTCATAGCTTACGCCAGTCGTACTCTCTCTCGAGCCGAGGCCAACTACTCCACTTCAGAGAAGGAATGCCTCGCAGTCGTGTGGGCAACGGCAAAGTTTCGACCTTACCTCTACGGCCGTTCCTTCAAGGTGGTGACCGATCACCATTCGCTGTGTTGGCTGGCCAATCTCCGTGATCCGTCTGGTCGTCTCGCTCGGTGGAGTTTACGCTTACAAGAGTTCGACATCATGATTGTGTATAGGTCTGGGCGCAAGCACGAAGATGCCGACGCACTTTCTCGAGCACCCGTGGGACATCCTGATATGGACTCGGAATATGCTGATGGTTTTCTCGGAGCCCTCAGTGATTCTGACTTTATGTCTAGACAGAGAGCCGATCAGGAATTGCGCCCTATTATTGATTCCTTAGAAGGCCGAAATTCTCACACTCCTCGGCGCATCGCTCGCGAATTGTCATCCTTTTGTCTAAGGAGGGGCATTCTTTACAAGAAAAATGCTCGAGGTAGCAACAAAGCCTTCCTCCTCGTTGTACCAGCCGACATGCGGGATGACATCCTACTCGCGTGCCACGACGAGCCCACGTCGGGACACTTGGGCTACTCGCGGACTCTCGCCAGAGTGCGCCAGCAGTACTATTGGCCACGACTTTCGACCAGTGTACACCGCTACGTGCAAGGCTGCCGCGAGTGCCAGCGTCGCAAGACGCCACCCGTGAAACCTGCGGGCCTTCTCCACCCTATTACACCACCACGGACACCTTTCGACCTCGTGGGAATGGACCTTCTAGGACCCTTCCCTTTGTCGGCCACTGGTAACAAATGGATTATAGTGGCAACCGATTACTTGACCCGGTATGCTGAGACAAAGGCATTACCCCGCACCTCCACCAATCTTGTCACCAATCTTGTCACCAATCTTGTCTTACTCAAGGAAACCTTCCGCAGAACTGCTCGTCAAGCTAGGAAAAACAAAAGCGGCCCAGTCCCAACTTCTTCGTCCTCTTCCACACGAAAAACCACGCGAATTCATGCGGCAATATCAATCAAAAAAATCTCACGTACCTTCGGAATCGATGTTATGCGAAGCAGGCGCACGAAAAGTGACTATGTTGTTGTTTTTATTGAGCGAAACGTCACGAAGTGGCGCTAAAGATATATGTACAAGTTCACACACAGACATAGCTTAAAGGGGCCCTGCAACACTTGTTGAGCATGGTCAGCAAACGATGCCGGTTGGTAGTAGAGGCTTCCGACAACACACGAGCACGTTGCCTGACATTCACAATAAATTATCAAAGTCAACCTAAAAATTGCTTTCTCTTCTCTCGACAAATCACGGAAGACGCTCAATAACCACTCGTAAAAATCCCATCTATCAGCCATTGGCTGATTTGAACATGGGGCGCTAGGTCGTTACAGAGATCGCCACGGGAGGCCGTCACTTGTCTACACGTACACGCGCGGTCACACTGAGAAAGCCGCGCATACGAACAACAACAACAAAAAAGTGCTCAAGGTCACAAGACGCGCGTGCCGTTTTTTGTTTTTTTTTTTTGCCCCTGCCATCTTTCTCTGCTTAGCTTCCAGCGGTTTCGTCGCGCCAAGAGAAGAATGCAATTTCAGCATGCGACAAATCTTTGTAACTCCCCTCGCACCGCACTGGGTGGATTCTTAAAATTTTTGCGACGTTGAATTCGTGAGGTTATTAGCTCTTTCAGTAAATTAATTCCATGGTTACTTCAAAAAGTGTTTAGGGACCCCAAAGAAATAGCATCAAGGTCACTGCAGATGCTCAAAACGTTTGGGTTTCGGGTTGGGGACGTTATTTCTCGAATTTAGCGGGAGCCCCAGAGTCTGCCCCAAAAGTTTTGGGTCAGACAAACGTGACGGCACCCACTGAAGTGACGGCTCTCGGCCAAGACTAGACTGACATCGACAAGGAAGAGCGCGAGTGTCCACAGCGCTGCAAATCCTATCTGAAAACTCGTCCCTCCTGCGTGAACCAAAGCGTCCATACGCAAAGGGCTCCCTATTATCCCGTTTTTTACGCCCCAAATCCACGACAAGAGTGTGAGGGACACCGCGTATAGGGCTCAAAAAATTTTCAGGGTGCACTGACATCACACAGTACACGGGCCTCTGCCCATCAAAATGCGACCGCCGTGGCTGGGAACGAACACACGACCTTGGGGACAGCAGCCGGTCACCCTCCAGCCACTGATACACCGATGGGGACCGCTAGGCAGGAAATATACGTGTAATGGGGTCGTAACTTGAAAATGAAAAGCGAGGAGGGCGAGTGGAAGGAAGACACTACAACAACAACAACAAAAAAAGAATGTCTCATTGATTAAGACGTTGCTGATTAAGACCTTTAGTAATAGACTAAATTGCTCACAAGATCCGCAGCTATTGCAGCCTTTCAGCAATAGTACAAGCTGTCCACACCTTTTTTACCTTCGATAGTGACTCAGCTATCGATAGTACCATCGATATAGTTCTGCATCCCTACCTCGGAGACCGGTAACGTGGCGTCGCTCAGCTTCTTGCCCTTGACCCGCTCGTTGAGGGCGAGCACGAAGCCGACGTACTCGCCGTACGCTTCGCTCTCCAGCCAGCGCTTCATGTCGGCGGGCGTCAGCACGTGGCGCCTGGGTTCCGCGTACTCCGGCTCTTCGTCGCTCTCCGACGTCGTCTTCGACGTAGCCGAGGCACTGGCCGAAGAAGACATGACGTCGTCGACGCCCGTAGAAAGCGTCGTCGTCGTCGTCAGCGGCTGATGATTCGAATACCGTGTCCGTTGTGGATGGTGATGATAGTGACGCTATTGTTGTACAACTACTGTTGCACCCCGAGCTGCTCCGAGCGTGGTTCACAGCGAATTCAGAGTATTGGCCCAGTGGTGAGTGGATTGCTACCTTATTTTCGCGAGAGTATCATTTCTATGTGCTGTAGTTAATTATTCGCAGGTGTGCAAATGCTGCGCCTATTGAGCCACATCTCCAGAATTTCTAGACATGTACCAGCGCCTCCTCTATTTTTTCAGTGCCCGGGCGAACGAGTGGATTTCAATGGGAAGCGGCCGCCCGGTCGGTGCTAGTGCGACGTTGCGCCGCCAGGCGCCGCAACTGGAGTAGACATGCCACCGCGTAGTCCCTCGCGCAAACGAATGCCGCGGCTGTATTCCAAGCTATTATACGGCTCGGTTTTCGGCTGTATTCACATTATTTAAGATGTAATGGAAACTTAGAAACGAGAATCGTGAAACACTTGTTGTTTGGACACTCACTCAGCTCATTTCAAAGGCATGTGCCGTTCGCGACTACTTGATCGAGGCGCTTGTGCGTCGCCTGCAGAACCATACCACATAGCTCATGCTAGCATTCCGCGGAAGGTAATTTTGTCACCGCGGCCGTCGCTTGACGGAGAGTTGCTTTTTTGATTAAATGAAAGTGTATTTTTGAGAGAAGCCTTTGCCAGAAGTTAGAGGATGCGCTGCAAAGAGTTTCAGGGCCCCTTTAAAGGGGCCCTGAAACACCTTTTCGAGTAACCATGGAATTAATTCACCAAAAAAAAGCGTATTACCTCACAAACTGAACGCCGCAAAAATTTTAAGAGTCCGTCCAGTACGAGCGGAGTTACAGAGATTTGTCACACGCTGCAATCACATTCTCTCTTCTCTCGTTCCGACGAAAGTGCTGGAAGCTGAGGAGCGAGAGACGGTAAGGGTAAACCAAAAAACGCCACTCGCGCATCGTGATCTTAAGTGTTTTTTTTTTTTTTTAGAATACCAGTGTGCGATTGCGCGCGCCCGCGTTGACAAGTGACGGCGTCTCGCGGCGACCTCTGTAACAACCAAGCGCGCGCCATGTTCAAATCAGCCAATGGCTGATAGATGGGCTTACTGGGATTATTTTCCGTTGTTTGTCGAGAGAAGAGAGAGCTATATTTAGCTGAATTTGATAATTTATTGTGAATTACAGGCCACGCGCTCGCGTTGTTCGGGAGGCTCTACTGCCGATCGGCAGCGTTTTCTGATCATGCTAAAAAAAGTGTTGCAGGGCCTCTTTGATGTATATGAGTGAAATGCATGTGAGGAGGGACCCTAGACAGGCAGAGGTAATCTGCCTTAGGTGCCTTCAACCTATAAACACTTTCTTTCTAAAAAAAAAATCTGAGTGAATGAATGAAATCTCGCCGTCATCGTCTCGGCTGCTGGTTATCCGAACGGACGGCCACAACCACTCATGATGATGATAGTGACTGTATAATTGAGGAGTGGGAGGAGAAATGGCAATTTAACCACTGTCACTGTTTGGTCAATCGTCCAGTGTGTGAGGCGATTAGAGGCTGTAGCACCGATAGCGTAAATAAACATAGAAGATCCCTGGTTAGCTACGGCTCCCACGGATTTATTTTCGCTTCCTTCCCATTCATAATGGGGCGTAGGCGCGATTCACTGTAAAGCACGCGCTTGTAAAACACGAGCTGTTTCAAGGTGGCAGGACTTTTCGCTTGCTTCTGCGTGTTTATTTTCCGTCACAGAATCAATGTTTCAGTAAAATTTCGACGAAGAGTGCCTATCGCAACACAGGTCCACGTGATAAAGAAAAAGAAAACAGCACAACTTTCCTTTCGCTTTTCTTTCCTGGTGTGTAGAAGCGACTAACACAGCCGTGTGGGAGGCTGGAACGGCGCGCTGCGTAGTGCACTGACGACGTCTGCAAACCTCACCAGTTTTAACCAAATCATAGCACACGTGGCCGCTTATGATAAACACTCAAGTGTGGGCTATCTCGAGTTACTGGTCATCGGCACGGAGCAGGAGCGTTGCTGAACGTGCCGAAGCGTGCCGTTCTACGTTCATGTGCCGCCATCTGTGCACCTTAATTTTAGTGTTCCGCCTGGTTCACAAACGCCACGCACCACATCCAGAACAAAGTCTTGCGATAAACAGCACTGAACGGACAACATGAACAGGGAGGGCTTTTCACGGTTGCTTTCAGTCTCGGCTCAGACGCTGCAGGTGCGTGCCAGTTCAGCAGAGCTTCAGTTTGGGTCCCGATCTGCTCTTGATGCAGACCGAGCGGACGGCAACGTCTGGATTTTCGGTCAGCATGCGGGTCAGATGTGTCACGACCCGGTTCACGTTCTGCGTCAAGTGCTCTGGTAACATGGTCACGTGACCCACGATGACCAAAAGCTCGTTGCGCTGTGAAGGAAAAAATAAATAAACTTTACAAATTCAGTGTTCACTGCAGAAGATCTAGAGGTGTACTGACACCGATATATCTGGTTATTTTCTTGTATCAAAGAAAAAGGCAATGAACTTTATGAATTGAGTGTTCACTACAGGAGAGATAAAAGTGCACTGACAAATATGTTTAGTTATTTTCGTAGGTCAAAGGAATGGCGATACCGAAGGAGCCTAGAAAATGCACCGAATAGCAAGATTTGGGCTTGTTTGAGTGTATGCAATATGCATTTACAGGAAACAACAGTAACAAGAGATCAGTGCTGTAGCGGGGGGGGGGGGGGGGGGGAGGGGTTGACACGTAAAACCCCGGATATTGTTATCATTACTGAAAAAACTGCGTCTGACCAGCCATCAAGCACGTCCCTGTCACGTCAGAAACACCACTGTTTACTTTTCATTTGTTTCGCGCTCTGTCGAACTGACTCATGATATGTTTTGCTAACATATCTTTTAAATTTTTTGGCTCATTTACCGAAACAAAATGCAATTCATTTTAAACGATCATGCAGAGTAAGAGCATGATAAAAAGCAGACACTGTCAGTATCTATTCTCTGCGAGGGCCTCCAATAGAGAGGCCGGTGCTGCGATCGTCCTGACGTCACAGATAAGACGCTCCTGCTCGCCTTGCAGCATTGTATAGTTGTGGAATAGTTGTGTATAGTTGTGTAGGCATGGTATAGTTGTGTAGGCACTGCACCGTGCTCCCGACCGGGTTGCAGAAATTAGGTGCCCTTTCTCATCTTCCAACCACTCCCACCACCACGTTCGGGTGTAATCGCGCCACGCGGCATTCAGTTCTCAACGTGCGAACTTAAATTTCGCCAGCTATAGTAGCATAATCATATAGATAGCACAAGCAGTGCTTAGTTGCGTATATAGGTAGCTTCTGATAATTTTGTTGCGTAGTGACTCGGTGTTATTACCACGTAACAATATAACATCTGAAGTTTAACGTCCGAAAACTGCATACGATTTTGTTGAGGGATGCTGTATAGGGCAGCGCTACGGAAATTTCGACCAACAACTGGTGTTCTTAATAACGCGCACTAGCATGGCACTGTTCACTGGCCTCCTTCGAAATGCGACCGTTGCGGCCTGGATAGAATACGCAACTTTAGGGTTAGCAGCCGAGTACTGTTATACTGTTCTACCATCACGGCGGACTTTAAACAGCTTCAGCTTGGTGGTGTATCGTTCGACTACTCAATGCCAGACGTATGCGAGAGACTGCACTGTAAGTTTTCATCACTGCCCAAATGCAAGCAAATGCGAGACACTTTAGTGGTAGAGCATTTTACTGTCCCTTCAGTACCCGTTTCCCCGTGAGTGTATTGGTTGAGGTGTCCTCACGTGAGCGACAGTTATCGTGCACTCCTGACCTCGCTTTCTTACCTATCCGTCTTTACCCAAACGTTTACTGTCCCCCCTTTCCCACTCTCGAATGACATACAGGTGCACGTGCTGTGTGCGCATGGCTAGGAAAATCGTGTGCTGCTGGGATGTGGCGCACGCCGGCAACACGACGAACAACAAGCACGGCTGCTAGACTAACCGGTTGGCCGACCAATCGCAGAGGCAATGCGCCGCGCGTCAGATTTCAACCTGTCGACGTCACACGGAGGCCGGAATGGCCCGGAGAGGCTTAATTACGCAAACGAATATTTTGTCGCGTTCACGTCTCATTGAAGGCGCTGAAAACTGACACCGGTATGTTGCCGACAAGTGCAAGCTAATCCAACAATTGAACTACCGGTGGTATAATAAACAAACATAAAAAAGAGAAACAATGCTGATTGTCAGTCAGATCGGAGCGCTACAAAAATTAGCAGAAGGCGGGGGGGGGGGCGATGAATGGCTTTTATTCTGCACATGCAGCAGCACCTCTAATCATATGTGGCATTTCGCTCCACTCACCATAGCCACGTATTCGTTGATAGTGTAATACATGCATTAGTATACATTGTAAGTACATACCTTACATACACCGCTCCCCCGTTGGTGCAATAACGCATTGGCAGCGTGCTTGAAACCCTTGCATCGTCCTCTTTGACGTCACCGTCAGCCACACCAGGTGATGATTGTAGCATGGTACACGTGATTGATTTGTGCGGTTTAACGTCCCAAAACCACCATATGATATATGAGAGACGCCGTAGTGGAGGGCTCCGGAAATTTGACACCTGGGGTTCTTAACGTGCACCCAAATCTGAGCACACGGGCCTACGCATTTCCGCCCCATCGGAAATGCAGCCGCCGGCAGCCGGGATTGAACCCGCGACCTGCGGGTCAGCAGCCGAGTACCTTAGCCACTAGACCACCGCGGCGGGGCATGGTACACGTGAAGCCACAGAAGCGCCGACTCGTGGCTTGCTTGCCCAAATATCAGGTCATTCCCCTTCTTCGAGAAATGAGCTAATCGCCGAGGGCCCCTCCGGGTGTTTGGTCCTCCTATTCTATAACGCTAGTTTTCTTTTTTTTTCTTGATTACCTCCTCCCTTCGTCCCGGTTAATTTTTTTACCTGGTATTTTGCTTCTTTCCTCTTTTACCATACTTTCTTTTTTCACTTTAACTACACTACATTTTACTGTACCTTCGTACCCGTTTTCCCCGTGAGTGTATTTTGAGGTGTCCTCCGTGAGAGACAGTTATCGTGCACTCCCTGACCTCGCTCTCTTAACTATCTCGTCTTTACCCAGACGTTTACTGTCCCCTCTTTCCCACTCTCGAATGACATACAGGTGCATGTGCTGTGTGCGCATGGCTAGGAGAATCGTGTGCTGCTGGGATGTGGCGCACGCCGGCAACACGACGAACAACAAGCACGGCGGCTAGACTAACCGGTTGGCCGACCAATCACAGAGGCAATGCGCCGCGCGTCAGATTTCACCCTGTCGACGTCACACAGAGGCCGGAAAGGCCCGGAGAGGAGGAGGCATCGTTTCTTCGAATTTGTGACGCACCGTCGGCTCGTATAGCGCTGTCACGCGCGGCATTGTTGATCGTGACGGAATTCTGTGCATGATGCGCGTGTTCACTTGAGAGAGAGAGAGAGAGAGAGAGAGAGAAATAAAAGGAAGAGACAGGGAGGTTAACCTAGACGAACTGGTTTGCTACCCTGTACGGGGTGGGGAAAAGGGTCGGAAAGAGGATAGATATATAAGGATATAAAATAAATTAGTGTTCACTTGAAATGTTGCAAGAAATATGGGAGGTGGTTCGGGGCCATTTAAAGGAGACGATGCAACCTTTCGGCTGTTAAACCAGTTCAATGAACATGTATCATACAGGCAGTGGCCGGCATCTGAAGCAATGGTGAGCGCTGCAGCGCTTTAAAACTCCTAAACCAATTCTACTTCAAAAAAAAAAAAAAGACCGAAGTTTTTTTCTTTCTAGCCTTTGTTGCCCTTTTTTCACGCATTATCTCCTCCTCGCCACTGATTTCTCTATAAAAATCGCAAGATTGTGGCGCTTTCCAGCTACAGGCTGTTATCTCCGCTTGCGTAATCGAAAACGCACGAAACGGTGTCACGCAGTCACACGGGCGTTCGCATGCGTGACAAAGCATGGGTAGGTGACAATCTGCAACAGCTATCTCTGGTGTATGGATCAATCTAGGTCTCCTTTTCTCACGACGCTACGTGGACAGACCGGACTGCTGAACTCAGTTGAGCCGGAAAGACCGACAACGACACCAGAGAAGATCGCGCTCATGGTTTGTATACGTTGTCGGGGCCCTTTCACGTGTATTAAGATGTTAAGAAACAGCGGTGACAACATGCCTTCCTGCGGATCCTGGCTGTGTTCTTGGCCTCCTCGACCCGGCCATCACGGGTTGCTCGACGGACAGGCCGAAGGGGGGCGCCTTGCCCGCTCCCGCCAAGGCGTAGCCGAAGTAGGCGTTGAACTTTCCCAGCACGGGCTTCGACACCAAGAATGCGTCGTACTTCTGAGCTGCGGAGGTGAGAAATAATGTCATTTTTTTTTTCTTTTGGGGATACATTACAGAGGACCTAAGAGACGTTTAAGCAAACGGCAGCGCACACCAGGTTACACAAAGAACACGCACACAAAGCGAGGACAAGCGCTAAATTTCAAACAATTTTATTACGGGACGAATCGCTTTCAGTAGACGACTTACGTGTTGTACACACTTGATGTGTGCCTGTCACAACAACAAAATCAAGAGCACAGCAGGGGCAACCAATTCGCTTATACAAGAGCAACAAAATATAGGAAATTAAACAGTGCCACGTGTTAATGCCTAAAAACACTATGACAATCGATGTGCAACTACTGCTTTCTTCCTTCGTATCGATAACTGCAGCCGCCTCTACAATTTCCCGTGCTACTTCGCTTTTTTCTTTGCTCATGACCTCCGCGTTCTCGAACACGGGTTGGCAGCAGCAGTCCCTTAGTTTTAAAACCTTTGAGAAAAATTCTGCCCCCGAAATAGCTGTAGGCCTGTGGGCTACGAATTGCGCGCACGTTTAATAAAGTGTAACACGATCCAGAGTACTTGGTACTCTATACTACGGGAGAGCATTACGCCGTCCCGTGGGCCTCACACTTGATGAGTTTAGAACGAATAGTTAACGATTCAGAGTATACTTGTACTTTACTATGAGAGTGCATAAAGCTGTCCCGTGCACGACGAGGCTCGCAATTATAAAAAAAATTTAACAATAGCAGCAGATCTTAGAGCGCAGCGAATGTGTGCGTTCCCGAAAAGCCGTCGTACTCTTACCGGTTATACTGCAAGATTTTATTGATATTTCTCAATGGGTATCACGAGGAAAATTTCTAGAATCTGATGGCAATCCACTCAAATGCACCTTCCATCTCTTATTACGACATTTTTTAAGCGAGCAACTGCGTGCCTAAAACAGTGTGATGTGTCAATAATCGCCAGGAATAGGTTTCAAGCTGCGGTTCAGGGCCAAACCTCATAAGCGCGAAAATGCACGCGACAGCGACGAGCGACGCTATGAGCGACGAAACAGGGCGTTCGCGCCACGTGTCGCGTGCTCGTTTTCGCGCGATCGCTCGGTTCTCCAGATTTGGAAACCGTCGCTCATCGCCCGGAAGTGCTGGGCTCAAGCAGCCAATAGCGAAAAACCGGAAAAGATACATCCGAACATGATAATCATGGCACGGAAATCATGCACGGCAAACATTACCTCCACCTCGTAACGTTCTGCTGACTTTAAAGATCATATTCCTGCTTCCTTTATCATCGATTCCTTCTGTATGTGGGATCCGCCAATTTTTTCAACCGTGCACGCTAGCTATTTGAGCTGGTGAACTACTAAAGTGGCGAACGGTGCTATTGGTTGCACGGTGTAAAAAAAAGAAAACATTATTCTTCTAACACTGGATCCTCACGTGTGAAACGCCATTATGAACGCTACGTCATGCACTCGCATTTTCTAACAATTCCCTTCGGGGAGGGACTCGCTCACTAGATTCCGTGTCGAATGGTTGTGCTCCCGCGATCTCCGACGACAGCACAGCTCTGGCCAACTGGCTCGCCTCTGCCATCTCCTGACGCCGTGAATCTCTCGCTGAGTGGTGCCCCGTCCTTGGACTTCTTCGACCGTGTCCCCATCTTTCTCTGTCTTATCTTTACTTCTCACTCTATCCTTTTTAATCCCTTCTTACCTTTATCCCTCGTGAGCCCCTGTTGAGGTGTCGCACCCTGATGCAGACAGTTACGGGCCTCGCATTTATGTTTTTTCTCTCATTTTTAAGAATCATTCCCTTCCCCCCTTCGGGAAGTTGGGGCATTTTGCTGTTGCTGACCTTTTCTATCTACTACCTTTTTGCGCTATATCCCTTTCACTCCCACTCCCCCATTCACCGCACGAGTTTGTGGAGGCGTCCTTCACAGAGACAGAGACACAGTTACGACACCACGCTTATTTCTTTTCATTCCTTTAGGAATCTCTACCGATGTTGCCCAAATACCTCCATGCCAGGTAAAACATAATAGAGAGATTGAGAATTGGGTCCCCAAGGAGCTTGGGGTCCCAAGAAGCTTACGACTGTATTTTTAATTTAATAAACCAGCCTTATTTGAAATTAGTGTGTATAGACGATTCGGCGAACAGATGCCCTGAAGACATGTGAAGAGGCTATTCGCCCTTTGTATTGGCTTAGGGGCCCCGTAGCCTCCACAGTACCGAAGGGTGAGACGCCAAGGCGCCTTGAATCACCAGCGAGACGAAGCAGACGCAGCGCGAGCCACGGTGCCGTATGGCCCACGTCTCGCTTAATTTAGAATTTGGCCACGGGTGGCACCCCCTGTGTTTGACCCAATGCAGCCTGCGTTCGACCCAGTTCTCAAACTCTTCTAATCCTGCGAATGCAAAAGCAACCTACGCAACGAAGCTTGGGAACCCAGTGTCTTGGGCCCCCAATTCTGAAACTCTCTATTAGTGAAGGCCGGTTTCATGAGCTACGTGGGGCAGCAGGGTTTGAACGCTTGGTCTACCGCAGACGGCGTTGAGTCAAACGGATCTCCTTGGGTCAAAAGCATGTTACGCCAGCGAAACTAAAGTTACACGAGACGCGGGCCTCACGGTGTCCTGGTCCACGTTCCATCAGTGTCGTCTCGCTTGAGACCCAGAACGCGTTCGGGACCCACGATAGTTCTCGATTTCGGTGTCTTGGTAAAACGCAAGCACCAAAACCTAGGAGTAGCCGGCATATGGTGCATGCGGTCTGGCGGCTCAATTTCGTAGAGTCCGCCGATTCCTGTGTTTATAAAAAAGTGCCTAACGATTTCCAGTATTTGTATTACAGTAGTAGTACTTTCCACGAGGACATGTTTGTAAAATTCTTTGTTGAAGCTCTACGATGGCGCATCAAGTTTGCATTGATTTTTGCTATCTTCCTGCAGACGTTGGGAAAGATCGCGAGCAGCCGCAGAAGCCCGGGACACATCAATGATATCGAGTCCAGACATCAACTACAAGCAGCTTATTCCAGCCTACGGGACCCAGAGCATCCAGACTACACAAGAACAGAAAAGGCGGCCCCACTCCAGGGGAGGTCGCGTTCCAGAAGAGGTTCTAGACCCAAGGCCCGCTTCCAATCATGGGGGTGCTCGAGTTCTCAAGGTCACCATCAGGGTCGGAATCAGCCTGGGTGGCACCCGAATGGCCAGCTGCCTGGCGTTCAGTTCGAGATCACGGCTTCACACCCGGGGAGGACGCCTGCAGTTACATCGAAAGGCAGCTGGGCTGAGCGAGTGCGCAACGGCGCGGCAGAGGTGATGACAGGTAAGCTGCCAGAGCATGATAGAATTGCACAGCTAGAGCAAGAAAACGCGAGACACAAAATCGAATGAGAGGCTATCAGCTCAGTTAAAGGAAATAAAAATTCTTCTCACTAAGCTAACCAGCGCGCAGTCTTCATAGCCAATGCCTTAGCCAGTTGATGTCCCTGTGGCTGAAAACGTGGGGCACTCGAGAACCACAAAAAAGGGGGCAGTCATGGCAGAACACGTGGAAGCCAACCGAACGACCATGTCAGATATGAAATAGGTCTTTGACACGCTCATCAAAGTAGTAGCCAATTCTTGCGAGCAGATGGGTAGGCTACAGTCAAGCGTGGCGGCACTAGAAGAGCATATGACTTTGCGCATTACAAAGGTCGAAGCATATCTGCCCAATACAGCAAGGCCTCCTCATGCACCAAACTCACCCCTTCGGCCACCAATACTAGTGGTACCAAACCTGTCGACAGGTGCAGCATCAGGCTCTGGCCTTCCATGTAATAACCATGATCGCAGTGCTACGTGAAGCATTTCGCGTCTGGCAATGGAACTGTAGAGGTTACCTTAAAAAGAAGGCAGCCCTACAGCAGTTATCAGGAGCAGCCAAGAAATGCCTCATATTATATTATTACAAGAGACCCTTTCACCGCAAGCAACGTTGCCTGGATTTCGGCCTGTAATAGGGGATACTGAAGGGAGGGGACTCTGCACCTTCGTATGCAACAAACAAACGCACGTAACCCACGACCTCAAGATAGAAGCAGGCCGGTTGGAACACGTCATGATAGAGATCGTGCCAGGTACCAGCAACCGTCAGAGCATTTTCATTCTTAATATATACAGCAGTCCAAAGAAACGAAAGCAAGGGTTCAAGACGGTTCTAAAGAAAGCTGTTAATATCGCCGGGGAATGCCCACTCGTCATAGCAGGTGATTTCAACGCCCCTCATCATGCATGGGGTTACAAGTACAGCACTGGGAAAGGAAATCGACTTTGGCAAAGTGCCAGTGAACTTGATCTCACCCTAATCACAGACCCCAGCCTACCAACATGGCTTGGTAAATCTTGCTGCAGGGATTCCACCCCGGACCTTCCATTTGTAAGGAACATCAAGAAGGCCTAGTGGATGAACCTTGCTGTAGACCTATGGAGTGACCACTGCATTCTTGCCACTACCTTCTCCGTGGAGCGTAAAAAGCAGAGAGAATTCCACTTCACAGACTGGGATAAGTTCAGGAAGATAAGGATAGATGGCCACAGACAAGGCTTGGAGCAGTGGGTAAACAGATTAAAGATGACATCAAATCCGTCTCCTCCACCATTACCACACATTTTCCGGTTGAAATAATGCATAGCCGGCTCACTCATCTACTTGAGGCAAAGCAAGCACTACTGAACCGTTGGAAGGGTCAGCGCCTGAACCGAAAACTGAGGAAGAAGATAGCTGAGGTAAACATATCAGTCGTTATCACTCGATATCATGTTATCGCTTGAATTTTGCATAAAGAGATAGGGCGCACTACAGAACAGCAAGTTGTGCAGCGCCTCGTGCATAAGTACCTCCCAGTCAAAAGAGGATTGGCACCACCAAGTAGACAGTACCAGGACAGGCCCAATCCAGGTCTTGAGGGCGACTTTAACATCGAGGATATCAGAAGAGCCTTGCATGATCTCA